AAAGACAAAAAAGCATCTAAATAAATACATTTAAAAATAAAATACAAGTCTTCATTAGGAATAATATGTATAGTCATCAAGGAGCATCATCATCAGTAGACGAAGAGTCAGTAGAGGAATGATGTATGAAGGTGAAAACGGTGCTGGAGCTGGTGGAGGAGGAAGAGGTGTGGAGCTGCTTGTTCTCATGAGCTCAAAATAAGCATGCATCTGCTGCATCTGCATATGTCGTTGCTTCATCTGCTGCTGGACCTCCCTTTACATTCTCGATGCCACCTTCTTCTCTATCTTCTTCTCCATTTTCTTTGCTCACTTCTTCTTCCATGCACTTTCTTTGTTCTTCCACATCTCCTAAACCGTTCTAGAGCATATCCCCTTGTAACTCCACAACATGCATATTCTACAAACTTCACAAACACAAACAATCCTACAACACACAATAATCAGGTTCGGAGAAGGACCTCTACGCCCTTCCCCCAGTCATACAATCTTCAATTCTACAACTCTATCTTAGAAATTTTAAGTCTCTAAAAAACATAAAAAATTAAAAAACTAAACTGATTAAAAGTTAGAGTATCGTACCAGGAATACAATGATGCAAAAAAAACTTTCAAATAGTTGCTCCAATCACTCGCAAAGGCCAAAACACTGAGCTTCTAGAGAGAGAAGGGGGAGCGAGAGAGAGAATTCTGAGAAATGAGGAAGGGGAAGGGGAGACGCGGTTTTATGGGTTTCAATCATTACAGACGAAAAAATTCGTCTGTAATAAGTTTAATGAAACGGTGCGTTTCAGGTGGCACCTTACAGACAGATTTTTCTGTCTGTAAATTCGTCAGTTCCATTTACAGATGAAAAAATCTGTCTGTAATTTACCACCTGAAAGGTCGGTTAAAACGGCTATATTTACAAATAGAAAAATTCGTCTGTAATTTTTCACTATAACATTCCCTCCTATTTTCAAATTACAGACAAAAAAATTCGTTTGTAATTCTTGTCTATAATGTTTCACGCCAAAAGGCGGGCAAATTACAGACGAATTTTACAGACGAATTTTACAGATGAAATGATTTTTTTTCAAGAAATATAAATTTCAATTAACTGATAACCCAACCTAAACAAACCCAAATTTAATCTAGTTGGTTTTAGTTTAAGTTGAATGTAAAATTACAAAAAATAAAAAATAAAAAAAATAGTTCAAACCAAACGCTTTTAATTAGTTTAGACTAAAATTTTGCTTTAAAGCCAACCCATGATCACCATTAAGAATAGAAACCAACGTGATGCGATGAGAAGCTAGCTAGTTAATTTTGAGGTGGGACAATAAGGCAAAAATAAATTAGAAGAAAAAAAAAATATAGTTTCATTCTTTTTGACAAAAATAAATTGAGAATTAGTTAGCAAGTCCTTGATATTATGGTAGATATATGTGTAGGATGTTATTCCCTCTAAATACAAGAAGGATCTATAGGTTTGCATGCGTCAAGCGATACCAAACAATTTTAAGAGAGAGTAAACAATGTCAATTAAGATAAAAGTTTAACTACAAGAGTAAAAGTTACCATCTAAGCTTAATAATTTGATAGAAATAAATCATAACCCAACTAAGCTCTACAGGAGCAAAAAACTTAGGGAAAAAAATGATTTGAACTAACTCCTAAGATAAAGTTAAACCAAAAAAAAAATAAATTGGAATAGAACTAAAGACAATGCTAATATCAAGAGATAAGTAGTCAAACACACATTGAGACAATGTTCAAATACACTAAATATGATCATAATGTCCACTTAAAAATCAACTATGCACTAAGAAATTCACAAAGAACAATCATGAAGCAAAACACAAAGCAAATGCAAAAATCAAGATATGTTTGTGTTAGGTTCCACATTTGCCATTAACAAGACACTAGGGTCCATGTGCCTCTTCATTAAGTTCTCATGCACAAACTTAGAGTTGGATATATACTTATTGTTAATGTCATTCCTCAAAGTAAAGTCACCACCTTGATACATGAAGCTGGGGATGATGTGATAAAAGATATAACGGTTGTAGTGGAGGTCTTGCCATTAAAATTGACCCCTTTCTCACTAATGTAAAGGGTGGTAAGTCTCATCGTTCTAGGGTGGTATTAGTGTAGAGCTCAATGATTTTGTGATTCATAGATTTCATTTTTAAGTCGTTTGTATTCAACAAAATGAAATTATCTTGAGGAAAATACCAACCAAAATTTGTTTGTTATTAATAGGAGGGGGAAAGTAGCGGATAAATTATTATATTACTAACTTGTAAAAAAACTACTCTTATTTATCAAACTAACAAGCCTTGCTCAATACAAGAAATAAGAGAATGAGAATAATATTAAGAAGAAAGGAAGGCACTCTAGTTAGAGAGTGATACAGAGACAAAAAAAAGAGTCTTAAGTTTATTAATATTCTCCACATTAAATTCTTGCATGCTCTTCTCCTTTTATCCTCCTTTTAGATGCTTCATGTGGTATGCTTATTTTCACCTCACCATTATACCCACCAATATCTGTTATAACAAATTGATCACCTTAACATGTAGGTTTATAATATTAATTACCTCCTCCATTAAAATTGACCTTGTTCTTAAGGTCAAAAGCACTATAGCTATGTTTTTCAAGATGATAAACCTCTCTATATTTCCTTACACATTCTTTAGCAATTTCGATGAGAATAATTTATATGTTGTCCAATACAACAAAAAGACAAGCCAACAAAGTTATGATAGATTTGACAATGACATGAGCAACAATTTCCCCCTAATTGTTGATACAAAATGCTCATCCCACTAGTGTGAACAGTGCACAATAATTAATGGCAGTGCATCATCACTTGTTGCATTGCCAACAAAATATAGTGGAGGAAGATGGAAATTCAATTTGATTAATAATTATAGTGTTAATAAGTGGCTAAACAATGTATATAAATGTTTATTTTGGTGACACTCTTTCAGTTTTATTGATAGCCATGATTTCCAAAAACTCAAAGCAAGAAAAGCAGTTCCTAAACAACAATTAACACCCATAGAACAACAAATGAAGAAAGAACATAAAATAGTTCTATTTTGGTTCACCCAATAGGGATGTCTAGGAACAACAATAAGAGGGACACCATGAAGAAGTTTAAAAAATTTGTCTGAAATGTAATTTTGGTAGAATCAACCACAACTATTTCATGAAAATTTTAGGCTTTGACCAAAACAAAGGTTCATGTTGATGCTTGGCTAGACCAATAACTTTTCATGAAAATCAAAATACTTTCATGAGTATATATTATTTGTAAGTGTTTACTACAGTGTTCCTAAACTTAAAAGTAGATTGAATACTCTCTTTAAATTATACTAAAATATTAAAGGATATTTACGTTTTTTTTAAATATACTACTAATTATATCACTAAAATCAACGGTTATGATTGTTCTACATATACAAGAGTAAAGAATACTCACTCATTTTCTAAAGCACCGTAGAATTTACCTTATTTATATATAGGGAACATAGCTTCGCACAAGCCTTCCTCAAAAGGTGTAAGACTACTTTATTATGTCTCGTTGATTTGAAGAAGTCAAGCCACTAAAGTCAAGCTCCTTTAGTAACTATAAATCCATCCAAACTCTTTTACGATTGAGCATTGATCCATATAAACCACATTGGCCAAATAGGGTTGTGGATTTGAGCAGAACTTCCAAATGAGTTATATCAGAAGTATTTCGGTTCTTAGCAATTTAGAAGAAGCGTTTGAACAAAACTTCTAACTCATCAAGAACCTCAAATAAAATTTCATTAGCCAATAAAAGCACCAATGTAATAATAGCGAATAACCAATTAGATTACTAACCTGTAAAAGTTGCTCTTATTTATCAAATTAAAAAAGCTTTGCTTAGTACAAGAAAAAAAAGTATGAAAAAGATACAGAAAAGAGGAAAATTTTAGTTGGAGAAAGAAAAGGAGATAGTGAGAGGAATCGGGGTTCATCAATATTTTCCACTGTCAATTTTTGCATGATCTTTTCCTTTTATTCCCTATCTAGATGCTTCACATTGTATTTATTTTCAGCCCATCATGGCACACATGAATCTGTTGTTACTAATTAACCCAACTCAACATATAATTTCATAACAAGGAATATCTGCATTGTGCTCCCAAACATCATGAGAAAAACTAGTGCTTCAAAATCTCCTAGTTCCAAGACGCTTTGTATAATCAAATGTGACTGAAAATTGCACTTGTTTGTGCGATAAATCACCGTGCCATAGCTAAGAATTTGCATCCTACTAAAATTGGATATTATGGCTATTTTCCATGGTATAGTATAGATGAAACGAAATCCCATGATTTGCATATGCTTTTCCAGATAATTGAGTTTGCTTTTGGGCGAAGAATATGGACATTGTAATATTGATTGATATTTTAACTGAAAAAAAATTCCATCCGCCAAATATCAACATTGTTAATAAGTTGCCAATTCAATTGAACCATACCAAAATATATGAAGCGCGGAGCACCTTGTTCTTTAGGAATGCAAATCTTCTGACAAGTATAAAAAAATGACATTTCATTTTATGACTAGTCAAACCCTAAGCAAAATCTCTTTATAATCATAAAAAAAAAAAGGAGTGTTTATCTTCTGGCCCATGGCAAAAGGAGTCTATAATGTACGCCTTTAATTTTTAAATCATACAAAATACTGTTAAATTAATTTTCAAATTAGAATTATACTCATTTTTCTTGTTCCACCAATTGATAACACTATGTATAATTATAAACAAATTAATGAATTTTTTTAAATAACAAACTATATTTAATTAATTAAAAAATAGACATTCCGCACCACTCTTCCAACTGGAAGGTTTCCATGCTTTGAGTATACCACACCATATGTTTCCCTAAAATCTTATTCATTTTTTTCACTGCGAGTAGGGTGATAGACATATACATCCCAGTGTTCTTCCAATCAATAGCTGCAAACAGGCATGTCATAGCAATGGCTAAAACGGCAAAAATACCAATTGTCGTTTTATATCCACCGACAAAGGGACAGAACAACCAACCTGGTATTCAGTCCTATAATTCCACGAAATAGAAACAAAAGACTGACACAATATACAATTTCAACAAAATAAAAACGCTAACGTTATTCCACTTGGACAAGTTTCAGACATAACGAAATTCACAATATGATAAAGAAGAGAGCACCGACAACATGAATGAGATCAGGCGTCTCCGGCGTCGTCGTCGGTGGGCTTAGACTCAGCAGCGTCAGGAACATCATCGGGGTCACGATTGGGGTCGGACTTGTCGATGGAAGCACGGGTTTTGTTAAGGAAAGGTTTGAAAGCAATCTCAATAGCGAGCCACACAAATGCTAGGGCTCCCACAACCACCACCGCTTCTTTTGCCTTCCCCATAGTCCCTTTTCTATTCTCTTATCTTCTGTTCTCAATTTATGCAGATTGAGTGCTTCTGCTGTTTACCCACCACCACAATTTCCCAAATCTTAGCTCCTTCAAAACACGACACAACTTGGGGGAACTTGAAACTGACCACTTCCTCAATCTTTCTTTTACACGTAATAACCATAGCACAATAACTGAAACTTGTTTCCAAGTATAAATAATCTAGTTATTAAGCCCAATAAAATTCGTTTAGCTTTTATACTATCTAATATGTGTTTTATTTGTAGGCAATCTGAACTATTTAATATGCAATATTAAGGTTACATTATTAACGTACAAGTATAGAAATGAATTCCATTCCCTTGTCTTCCCATTTGAAATTTTATGCTCCGTTTGTTCTCGAGTTTTGAAAGGGCCAAATTGAATAATTATTTTACCCTTTTTCTTTATAAACATAAACATATCATTTAATAGGATGAGTATAGAATTAAATACAAATAAATATATTCATGTAAGAATTTGTACAAATATATTTATATTTTTTATTAGTTAATTTAATTTAAAAATAATTATAATTTAAATAATATTTATTTTTAATATGATAAAAAAATAGAAAATGTAAAATAAAAATTTTGATTATCTTTTAAAATAAATTTTATATAAAAAATAAATATAAAAGTTAAATTTAATTTATATATAATTTTAAACATTCTAAATCTTAATAATAATAATTTAATTATAAATTAATAAATATATAATGTGTTATACAAATTTTTTTATATTTTTTTATTAAATTCTTTTATTTTAAAATAAACAAAAAATTATAATTTAAATATAAAATATATAATTAAAAAATTTATTATATAAAATAATATCAAATATAATTATATTAAAAAATATGATAAATAATTTTTGTATATTTTATATATTTTTCATCCTCTTCAATAATAAAAAAATGTTATTCTTTTAATTGATGTAAACATAAAAAATAAATTTTAAAAAAAATTAAAGAAAACATAAAAATAAAAATAAACAGTAAAAAAATTTAGTTATTTTTAAATATAAATAATGTAAATCTATTATATTATTATTGTTATTAAATATTTTAAAATAAAAATAAAAATACATAAAAAAAGCATATATCAATGAGTAGAAATATAACAAAAAATATTTTTCAATAAACAATAAGTTTTAGTATTATACTCAAAGTCTAATTTTTTTTAAGAATTGAAATTAATATTAACATAAATTTATTTAATAAATTATGTATAAAATTATTAATTTATAGTTTTAAAATAACATATTTAAATATAACTTATAAAAAGTAAATGTATATTAATAATTAATTACTCTAATTTAAAATATTTTTTAATTTAAATTAGTATTAACTTTAAAAATATGATATCATAAAAAATTATATCAATACAAAAATTTATATTTATCTTATTTAATATTTTAGATATAATTTAAGTTTATAACTAGATAATAAATTGTAAGTCTATTACATGATTAAATACTCTAAAATTTTGTTTTAAGAGTATTTAAAATTTAATTCTAATATCAATTTTTTTTAATAATCACATAATTAGAATATAAAATATTAATAAATAAATAGTTTGAAGTATTAATATTAAAAATATTAAAAAATATTTTAAAAATTAATTTATGTCTTTATTTGATTGTAGATCTTTTTTTTTATAATTGTAAGAGAAGTATATAAAATGTGAAAGAAATATTAAAAAGTTGAAAAACTCTGATACACTATTAAAACAAATTATATATATAAAAATAAATATAATATTTAAATTTAATTTATATTTAAAATATTATTATTTATTTATTTATTCATTTATTATAGTATAAAAATATTAAATAGGCAAATTCAACAATTACAATAAAATTTTAATAATAAATTTATATATTATCTTTTTATTATAATGATATTTAATATTAGGTAATTTATTTTAATTATTATAATTAATTAATTTTAATCTAAAATTTAAAGTCATAACCATTAATGTAATATTTAAAAATAAATAACACTACTCTTAAAATTTAATTAATAAATAATTTAATTAAAGGATGAATAAAAGATGATAAAAAATTAAATTACCATGTCACTATTTAATTTTATTATAATCAAAATTTTATATAAGTTTTTTGAAATTCTCATACTTAGAAAAAAAATTATAAATTCTGTAGTATTAATATTTTTAATAATATATACATAATTTAAATCACAATGTTAAAATGATAGTAAATAATTAAAAATTTAGTTAAAAAATGAAAATAGTATCATTAGTTACCATAATAAAAAAATTAATATAATTTATATACTCAAATGAATTTATAAAATGAATAACATTTGATATTTTAATATTGACATAAATTTTTATGGATTTAAATGAAAAAATAAAAATATTACATATAATACATATTTGACACAAATTTAATAAGATATAATAAAATATAATACATAATATTATTTTGAAATAATGTAATTTTATGTTTACTTAATAAATAAAAAATTATCTTTGTATGATTTATTGCAACAAAATTATATATATATATACTTTAACAAATAACTCTTAAAAATTTACATTATTGTCGTACACAAATACGAAGTAATATAATATAAAAAAATATTAGCAAATTTTTAAAAGTTAAATAAAAATTATTTATTATATAGATTATATTGACAAAGATAAAGATATATTTAGTGATATATTACAAGATAAAAAAATTAATTTAATAAATGTTATCTTTTCATTTATATTATAATTTATTTATCTTTTCATCATAAAAATAATTTAATAATATGCAATACAAAATTATAATGTTGTGAGTGTGTACTTTTTTTATTTTAAATTTTTTAACACACACTTTTAAATGATAAATATATGAAACTAATTAATAAAATTATTTAACTCAATATCATTCAAATTTGAATAAGACCTAAATAACTTATATGATTTTTTTTAATAAAATAGTAACTGAAGAGGTTCGTTAAATTTTTTTGAGGTTATTTGTGTATGGTTTTAAATAATTTTTTTATTTTCAAAATTTATGGTGAGCTTTTTCACTTTTTTTTATATAATCAAATTCAATAATTTTTTATTAAATGCAATTTATTGCTGATTTATTATTTTCATTCTTAACATTATATAACTATCAATGTAAAATTTTTATACATAATTTTAATAAATTTTTCTTAAATACAATTTAAATATAATAATTATGAATCAATTATAATTTAAATTTCTAAGATATGTGAAATATTATAATTAATTTTAATAACTTTTTATTAAATGTAATTTATAGTTAATTTGTTGTTTTTATTTTTTATATACACCAAATAATCTATGTAACCAATCATTATATGTGACTTTAAGCATTTCAAAGTTTTAAATAAATTTTTATTAAAAATACAATTCATGATTAATTTGTTCTATTTTAACATATACAATCATCCATACTGATCATTCGTGTTACCAATATTATATGTAACTTTAAGTATTCTAAAATTTAATAAATATAAATTTTTTGTTATAAATTTTACATAGATTATTTTTTTAATAAATTTAATTATAAAAATATTTTATGAGTATTATAAAGATAATTAAAACTTAACAATATTATATTTTATTAATTATATTTTATTTACTATTAGTATGTTCAAAAAAAATTTTAAAATTATTTATAACATGAAATTTCATTATTTTTTAAAAGTATTTTTTAAATATATTTTAAAACATGACATGTATGGTACATCAACGTTATAATATAATTTTAGATAATATAAATTTATATTATTGTATATTAATTTAGTTAAAAAATATTAATTAATTTGATATAATTTAATCAATAAAAAATAAAATTTAATATATGATATTACTTAAAAAATAAATTGAATAATTATTTTACCCTTTTTCTTTATAAACATAAACATATCATTTAATAGGATGAGTATAGAATTAAATACAAATAAATATATTCATGTAAGAATTTGTACAAATATATTTATATTTTTTATTAGTTAATTTAATTTAAAAATAATTATAATTTAAATAATATTTATTTTTAATATGATAAAAAAATAGAAAATGTAAAATAAAAATTTTGATTATCTTTTAAAATAAATTTTATATAAAAAATAAATATAAAAGTTAAATTTAATTTATACATAATTTTAAACATTCTAAATCTTAATAATAATAATTTAATTATAAATTAATAAATATATAATGTGTTATACAAATTTTTTTTATATTTTTTATTAAATTATTTTATTTTAAAATAAACAAAAAATTATAATTTAAATATAAAATATATAATTAAAAAATTTATTATATAAAATAATATCAAATATAATTATATTAAAAAATATGATAAATAATTTTTGTATATTTTATATATTTTTCATCCTCTTCAATAATAAAAAAATGTTATTCTTTTAATTGATGTAAACATAAAAAATAAATTTTAAAAAAAATTAAAGAGAACATAGAAATAAAAATAAACAGTAAAAAAATTTAATTATTTTTAAATATAAATAATGTAAATCTATTATATTATTATTGTTATTAAATATTTTAAAATAAAAATAAAAATACATAAAAAAGCATATATCAATGAGTAGAAATATAACAAAAAATATTTTTCAATAAACAATAAGTTGTAGTATTATACTCAAAGTCTAATTTTTTTTAAGAATTGAAATTAATATTAACATAAATTTATTTAATAAATTATGTATAAAATTATTAATTTATAGTTTTAAAATAACATATTTAAATTTAACTTATAAAAAGTAAATGTATATTAATAATTAATTACTCTAATTTAAAATATTTTTTAATTTAAATTAGTATTAATTTTAAAAATATGATATCATAAAAAATTATATCAATACAAAAATTTATATTTATCTTATTTAATATATAAATTATATATATAAAATAAATATAATATTAAAATTTAATTTATATTTAAAATATTATTATTTATTTATTTATTCATTTATTATAGTATAAAAATATTAACTAGGAAAATTCAACAATTACAATAAAATTTTATATATAAAATAAATATAATATTCAAATTTAATTTATATTTAAAATATTATTATTTATTTATTTATTCATTTATTATAGTATAAAAATATTAACTAGGAAAATTCAAAAATTACAATAAAATTTTAATAATAAATTTATATATTATTTTTTATTATAATGATATTTAATATTATGTAATTTATTTTAATTATTATAATTAATTAATTTTAATCTAAAATTTAAAGTCATAACCATTAATGTAATATTTAAAAATAAATAACACTACTCTTAAAATTTAATTAATAAATAATTTAATTAAAGGATGAATAAAAAATGATAAAAAATTAAATTACCATGTCACTATTTAATTTTATTATAATCAAAATTTTATATAAGTTTTTTAAAATTCTCATACTTAGAAAGAAAATTATAAATTCTGTAGTATTAATATTTTTAATAGTATATACATAATTTAAATCACAATGTTAAAATGTTAATAAATAATTAAAAATTTAGTTAAAAAATGAAAATAGTATCATTAGTTACCATAATAAAAAAAATTAATATAATTTATATACTCAAATGAATTTATAAAATAAATAACGTTTGATATTTTAATATTGACATAAATTTTTATTGATTTAAATGTAAAAATAAAAATATTACATCTAATACATATTTGACACAAATTTAATAAGATATAATAAAATATAATACATAATATTACTTTGAAATAATGTAATTTTATGTTTACTTAATAAATAAAAAATTACCTTTGTATGATTTATTGCAACAAAATTATATATATATATATATATATATATATATATATATATATATATATATATACTTAAACAAACAACTCTTAAAAATTTACATTATTGTCATACACAAATACGAAGTAATATAATATAAAAAATTATTAGTAAATTTTTAAAAGTTAAATAAAAATTACTTATTATATAGATTATATTGACAAAGATAAAGATATATTTAGTGATATATTACAAGATAAAAAAATTAATTTAATAAATGTTATCTTTTCATTTATATTATAATTTATTTGTCTTTTCATCATAAAAATAATTTAATAATATGCAATACAAAACTATAATTTTGTAAGTGTATATTTTTTTTATTTCAAATTTTTTAATACACACTTTTAAATGATAAGTATATGAAATTAATTAATAAAATTATTTAACTCAATATTATTCAAATTTGAATAAGATCTAAAACAACTTATATGATTTTTTTTTTTAATAAAATAGTAACTCAAGAGGTTCGTTAAATTTTTTTTGAGGTTATTTATGTATGGTTTTAAATAATTTTTTTTCATTTTCAAAAATTTATGGTGAGCTTTTTCACTTTTTTTTTTATATAATCAAATTCAATAATTTTTTATTAAATACAATTTATTGCTGATTTATTATTTTCATTCTTAACATTATATAACTATCAATGTAAAATTTTTATACATTATAATTAATTTCAATAAATAATTATTAAATAAAATTCACAGTCAATATGTTATTTTCGTTTCTCATATTACTAACATTTATTTTAACCATTTATATCATTAACCGTGTAAATAAATTAAATAATTTTAAATCAATTATAATTTTTGTTATAAATATATATAGTAATAAGTAAATGAGAGGTAATATTTTATTTTCAATAATATTGATTTTAAAAATTATAAATCCTTATAATTATAAAATTTAAAGTAATAAATAATTATAGTTATCAACATTATAAGTAACTCTAGGCATTTCAAAGTTTAATAATTATAATTTTTTTCTATTAATAATCATAAATTTTATTATAAATATATACAATAACAAATAATCATTTTGATATAAAAGATAGATTACAAATACCAAACAAAATGAAAAAAAAAAAAAAAAACTTTGAAATCACAGTAAATTATGAAGTACTGTCGTTATCTGTTTTGACATCACGAGTCTTCATGTCTGTTTTAATATCCTGAACTAGCAGTGGATTCGTCTATTCTAGTTCAAGTCAAAATCTTTACTAGATATTGCATTAATAATGAAGTATTCACTGTAAAATAACATCTCAGTAATTGGGCTTCAATCGTCAAGAATAGGTCCAGCCGGCAAATAAACTACGTAAGCCCAGTTGTAGTCTCAAATGTATGGTTTTCTCAGACCGAAAATAAAATGCATGTGACAAAATGTATGGTTTGAAACCTACCCTCCCCTGGACCCAAAAAAAATGTGTGGTTTTCTTTCAGCCTCTTAAAAAGGGTGTCAACTTTACGGGCCAATGGATGTAATAGAACTCTTCAATTAACAGAAAACTACCACTACGAACAACATAATCATCAGTAATTCCTATAACTTCGCCTTATCCCACAAAACTACACATATAGGCAGTTTCCTTCAGATGAGAGGTATTAGGCATTATCCAACAGGAAGGAATTATACACTAGAACTTCAAAGCACTGCTGTAAGAAAATTGCAACATTGACGAAGTCTGCACGATTGATTAAGTAATTAACAATACCATTCCTATGACGTCTTTAAAACTTCAGAAAATTTCCCTACAATAAAGGTACAACTAAATGCCACAAAAGTTGGCATGCCCAGCTTAACGGCCACGACCTCGGCCACGGCCGCGTCCTCTCCCCCGCCCTCGCCCCAAAGGCTTTCCTGCAAATAAAATCAAAACTATGAAAATCATGATTCCCTAGATAACAGCCAGCCAAAAGATAATGGGTTTGCGTGAAATGTATTCCAGTGACATTCACAAACTATACAGTACCAGCAGTTGGCTTCTTAGGCTTAATACGAGGAGCCTCTTCAACCAGCAAAGTCTCAAGATTCAAACTGTCAGGAAGGATATAATAACGAATGTTGTTGCCTCTCACACTGAGATGATCCAAAGTAACTGGGTTTTTCCCTTTCAGGGTTAGTTTCACTGTTTTCAAATGTGTATTCATGCTGATATCAACACCTGTATCATAGCACAGATTCATGGATCAGTACAAGCTCCAAAACACCTCTCAGCTCATCCCAAATAAGGCTTAAAGACTCAAAATGGTGAACTCTTTGTTTAGACATGAGCTGATAAATATTCACAATCAAATCCTTGGCGCTTTATTTGATTGTTTTTGGATAATAAGTAGTAATATATTGCCCAATTATAATACAAGGATTCACTGTTTTCGTGAAACATATCCAATTACTAATCATAATAGCAACATGTAAAAAAGAAATTGACTGCGTTTGCTACTTATTTCTGTCAAGTTTGGCCAAGGTAAGATATGAGGTTGAAACTGGGCTTCTGTATCATAGATTGGAACATGTATAAAGGATAGGATTCAAAATAATGCAGATGCAGTATAGCTATTCTAAATTACAACATGAAGCAAACTTATTCCAGAGGCTAGGAGGTTGACAAATGTCATAGTGCCATATAATAAAATTTCAATAGATTTGCCACATAGGCCATTCAGACTCCAGAGTTTAAGATGCCTCTTACCCAAATGTCATACGTTTAGAGTTTAAACAGTAATTAGTTGTTTCTTTTACATCAAACATCATAGAGAAGTCTATAAGGTAGAATAGAGGGAAAGTGCAGATTAGCCAAGAGGACATTGTTCAAAAATCAAAACAGAAAAAAGACAAGACAACCCATTCATTATGGAAGGGGTATAACAGTGAAATGAACAAGTCAAACATGAAAAAAATCATGAGTGCAGGAAAGCTGTTCAATCTCTCTACTGTGTCAGAGTTCAGGTATGAGCTATGACAACTCCATTTGAAAAATCCTGGAAGAGACATCTAAAGAAAATCCATAAAAAATGAATATTCATGTTATATAAAGTTTAGGTGCACAGGGATTAGTGATACTTCAAAGCTCAACATTATTAATCTAAACAAGAAGCTAACCAGGGGCTACTAGCAAATTTATTGCTGAAAAATCTCAATAGATACAAAGAAGCAGAAACTACAAGTGACTCAGTGAAACAAAACATCACGCTCAGTCCCACCAAATTAAGAAAAAAAGGATTCCAGATCATATGCTCTAAGTTGGCAAATTATCAAGCTGATTGCTAAACTCCAATCTTATTTTCTCTGAGAAATGACAGGGTAATTAGCAATTCACCTTGAAATGACATTAAGTTGTTAACAGAGGAATTACAACAAGAGGTCATATACAAATTGATGGAAACCAATGGAAGTTGCAAAAAGGTTGAAAGGAAAAATATTAAGTTAAAAAGTGGATCTTATTTTTTAGCACGTCAAATAATGCTTTGCAAGTGACACGGATTATGAATTTTTGTTGGGATAAGAGATTGCTGATCATGATAAACCTACCATGATCAGCAACACAGATAAAAAATCCAACAGATTTCATTAGAATTGATCCACTTAACGATAAAAAATCAGAATATTTGTACCTTAATACTGATGTAATATGTATTATAAGGCCTATTGGTCTATACATAAGAAAAAGCGCTTGGTTGGGTGTCATCCATAACATCACAGGCATAGTTACAGGCATATACTGAGGAATGCGCAAATGCAATTCAAACTAGTAAAAGAACAAGTGACTTTTTTTATCTACAAACAACCAAATCTGCCTCCTGCATCACCTTGTTCCAACTCTAACAGAATGAAATCCGTTGGGTACAAAGTCATGATAGGAGATCTATTTACAAACTACCATTCACAACCTAATGATAAGTGAAATCACATAATTTAAATGCTAAGTACCGAAAAAAAAAAAGGTTTTGAAATTCTGGGGTTACAATTAGAGAACGCTGTCAAAAGCTGCATTAGGTTTAGTAACTGAAAAGCCAGTGAGCATCCCTGCAACATGCCATTCATGACTAAATCATAGCATAAAAGTTTAAGCGCAAGGCCAAACTAGGGTTTAACAAAAGCAGCAATAAAATCAGGAAGCGAAAAACAAAGCAATCCAAAAGGAGCAGAAGAGAGAAGGGTGCCTGTAATGGTGCCATGGACAACTGTGCCGTTCTTGAGCTCGATTGATACGGTTTCGTTGTTCAACTTCATGAGAAACCTGTTGGAGTTTCCATGCGAAGATTTTAGCTTCAGAACCAAAAGGAAATGAGTAATGAAAAAACAGAAAAAATAAAAGAAATGCGAAATGAGAATGGAGAGCTGAACCTGACGAGCTTCATGGTGGCAGAGAAGAGAAGAAGATGAAAGCAGGGTTTTCGCACAGAACACTCTCTTGTGTCGTCCTTTTGTTGTTATTTTATATGCAAATTCATAAATAAAAAGTAAATATATTTAATATATTAAAATATATAAATATTTAATACAATATCACAATTCCTCCTACGTTAGAGGATGATGAAGATGTTATTTCTACTGATTGTCGTTCACCTTCTATTTCACTTGTGTTATTTTTTCAGTAGAGATTTATTTACTTTTAAGTATTCATTTCTTTTAGCTATTATCAATTGTATAGTCCAGAAAAAAAAAATTAAATTCCATTTATAAAAAAAATTAACTTATAATATAAGTTTTGCAGGTGAATAAATGACATCAAATGTTTAAGAATGATGTGATCTTAAAGTTAACAATAAATGTTATTGTAAATTATGAAAATGTTAAAACAGTTAACTTTAATTGTTAACTTTAATTTTGTTGATCTCTTTCATTAGTGTGAGTAATTTTTTAATATAAATCTCTTGAGTGGCTTTGATTTGACTTTTCTTAAAAATTGAAATGATAACTTGAATATTGATTAAAATATTATTGTTGGTATTGTTGCTTGAATTATGCAAGAGATAAAAAAAAAATATTTCACCATGGATAAGTATTCAGTTTTTAATAGCATTCATTGTATTATGAGCTAAATATCATTAAGCTACTAAGCATAGATTCCTCTAAAAGATTTATTAAAATTGAAGATTTTTACTGTAATTTTGTACGCAAAGCTTTAGGCATTCTTTGGGGCCTTTCACATTCTTGTAGATTTTGAATCTCAAGTTGCACTAAGTTAGTGTATGTTAATTGTTATGCCTCCACCATTAATATGATCTGATTGTTAGGATGAGCTTTTGTCACTAAATAAATTGACTCATTGAGCCATATATGGAGACGAGAACATATAACGTCTTTGTATTTTCATTTTTGCAATGAATTTATGTGAATCAATTACTAAATATGTATTCAATACACACATAATGATACAAATTGAACGGTAACTAATAATTTTAACTTTTTTATAAATTTGATATGGAGAATAAATCATGAAGACTAAAACTAATAAATTTAAATTTAACAATGATTAATGATTAAAATTAATAATTTTTCAAAACATAGACTAAAATAAAAAAATAATTTTGTAAAAACTAGAATCAAAATAGAAAAAGTATATTTAACTCTTGTAATTTTAACAAAATAAAGAATTTTATATTCTTATAATTTTTTATATCATAATTATAAGATTATTATTTTAATTTTTTATTAAAATATAACTGTGCCCGATTTTTATTTTTATAAAATATGTAAAAGAAAAAAGAGTGATGATGAAGAAATATAACAAGAGATAAATGAGGGTATGGCTACGTCGGTTCTCCACGAGGGGAAGACGTGGATATGAATGGTGGCGCAGAGCATAACAGATCTTTCAACTTTAGACCTTAAACTTTCCTCTTCCGAAAATCGATCCTATTATCCTTCTTCCAAAAACCCTAACCAGATTCTTTACCTCGTCACTCTCCTTGTCTCTCCCAACCCATTACTCCCATGAGCTATCACATGGTAGATTCCTCTTTTCAAGAACCTTAATCTCTACTTCATTCATATATTTTGTCTTTTACCTGTTGTTGTTCGGTTTTGCTACTCGCAACTTAAATCTCGGTAGATAAAGCGTTACGATTCATGACTAGTACGAAAACCAAACCCGAAGAAAAATTGAAGCGATTTTTCTCTGCTAAAACAATGTTCATATTTTCCTATAATCGAAGGCGCGGTGTTTTCTCTGTTTTCTTTTGGATTATCATTCATTGATGCAATGTACCGTTTGTTGGTGACGTTTTTAAATTTTAATATAAGGCGGTTAAGCTTCACTAATCACTACCCTCGCAGAAGTAAGAATTCACTTGGATTTTGTTTGTGAGAATTCGTCTTAAGCACTCTGGCTTGTCAATTTACTAATGAAAGTGTTAGCGAGTGACGTTTTGCTGTTTTGTGTTGTTCTGTCAATGAACTTCACTATGCAGAAGTGTGTGCAACTTTTGCTTGTTCTCTGATACACGAGTGCCTAATCAATTAAACATTGCCCTTCAGTTATACTCGTTCAACTTACTTTACTCTTGGCAATCTTATGTTAAGTGCTGTATTAGATTATTGATGGAGTGTTTCTCTTCTTGCTTTTTTTAAGATAGCTTCTTGTTGTTCCTTATTTTGAGTTGTCTATGCATCAGAATAATGAAGATACACACAGAGGTTTGAAAAGAAAGTTGCCACAGATGAATCGAGGGCAAGATCAGGGATCTTTCAATATGAATTCTAGACCTTATGATAGGAACATGATTCCCCCTGGTGGGTTTTTATTTTTATATACAATACACATGGATTTGGTTGTCAAGTATAGACTATTACATTGTGCTGATATATCACTGTAATTTAAACTCATTGTAGTGTAAGAATGGTTGGATTTTTTTTTTCTTTTTCTATTTTACTTTGTTGAATTTAACCATACAAATTAAGGAGAAACTGTGTGACTAAACGAAGCTGCAAGTTGGCTTTGATGCTAAAGGGTTTTCTTTTTCCTTGCACAAACTAGAGTTAATTGTGTTTGGTTCAACTTATTTCTGAGGAACAATCACCTTTTTTTAATACCATCTCCCTGGGAGCTTTTGGAAAAAAAATATATTCCCCAACAAAAGCATGTCAAACATGGGCTTATATGGAAGATGGTTGTATATGTTAAATGTCTCGATTGTTCACTATGGGTAAGTTATTTTGTGGGAGTGTTAAGTATATGTTGTAGAAATTATAATATATAGGTATGGTTCATGGCCGTTATTATAAACTAATACTTTATATTTTAGCTATTATTGTTCTGCTTGGAATTATTGAAGTTGATTACATCCCTTGCAATTATAATTGCAAGTCCGTATAGCATGAAGAAGACGGTTTTCTTTAACCAATTTTAGCTATATGTGCTTGGCTTTCTTGTTAGCTCTTTGCATAGTTGGCTTCAGGATACAATTTTCTTTAAAATGTTGAAATATTTTTTACTGTTCTTTATGCTTATAATAATGTTAGTTGTTACCACTATAATGTTGTGCTTTACTTATTTTTAATAGGCTTTTATTTTAGTTGATCCTATATAATTACAGGTTGGTTAGACTGCCCAGCGCATGGGCAAGAACTTGGATGCATAATCCCTTCTAAGGTTCCACTTGGTGAATCCTTCAATGATCACATTCCAAGTCAAAGATATACTCCCCAGCAAGCGATTCATCAGCAAAGAATCTTAGGTAGAGAAGTAAGTACCCCAAATGCACAATAACGTTCAATTTACTCAATTACATATGTTTCCCGTTGGGAAGATAAGTATCTGTTTTCTAAGTACATAAAGGGATATAATATTAGATTGGCTTGCACAAGCTGCTGATATTTAATTTAAGTCACAGCAGTTTTGTTTATGTGATGTTTCATCAACTTTTTATGTGATTGATCTTTCTATTTGCTCAAAGTTGTATAAAACTATTAAAACATTTTCTCATTTTATTGCTTCACAACATTAGCTTTGCATGTTGGTTTTCCAAGGGAACTTTTATTGACAAGAAGACAGCATAGGTTGCAATATAGATTTGAGGAAAAGGACATAGAAGCAGGAAGAAATGAGGATAATAAGTGTTTATATTTCAATTTTGTGTTAATAAACGGAAATAGCAATTTCTAGCAAGCAATTTAAGAATATCTTTCATTGTTGAGATTTTATGTTGTGTCCCATGCATAAAATATATGAATACTCGTTTGCTTTACCGTGATATACAGTAACTTGTTGCATCCAGCATCATAATGCTTAACTCTATTGATTTTGCAGCTTGGTTTAGTGATTGATCTGACAAATACTACTCGTTACTATCCAATATCAGATTGGACAAAAGAAGGGATTGGGCATGTCAAGGTAAGTATTTATTGTTCATCCTATTGTTTATGAAATGTTAATTGCAATTGTATTTAGACTTATGACTTGCTTGTGGCAGATAAGATGCAAAGGAAGAGATGCTGTACCTGATGATGAATCTGTAAAAAAATTTTGTGATGAGGTAACTTCCATTTGTGGCGTTGATATAAGAATTACTTTTACTTACTCTTTTGACTGATGCTCATAATCTGATAGTCAAGTCTTTTCTTCTTGTTAGTGTTGTGTGGTACAGTTCCTCATATCTTACTTGAGGTTTTATGATTTATACTTGTTAGACCTTCATTTTAGGTTTTGGATTTTTGCTCCCAAATAACAAACACAAAGAAATATATACTTGTACATTGCACCCATGGGCATAATCGTACAGGCTACATGATTGTTCACTTTCTTGTGCGTACGGAATCTATTTCTGTCACTGAGGTGAGTAATATATAAGATAGTTCATAGGTTTGTTTTCAATGCCTGCTTGACTCCAGTAATTGATGTGTTGTGAAAATTTTGTGCTGGTTATATTCCAGGCAATAAATAAATTTGCTTGGGCACGTCGCCCTGGAATTTACAAGCAGGACTACATTGATGCCCTATACATGTTTTATCGTGAAAAGAAGCCTGAAGATCTTGTTTGTCCTCAAACTCCTGAATGGAAGAGACTCTCTGATCCTGATTTTCATGGTGTGGCTGTCCCAGCTGTAGACAATTATGGACACATTCCTGAAGAGGTGCATGTATCTTCTTGTTGAAACAGTTTGCTTACCTTGTTCGTGGATATGATTTGCGGTGCTACCACACCTTGTCTACATGAGCATGAGTCTGCCGTTAGTTATACTTTTTTTTATGTTGAAGAGTAGATAAGGCCTATAAAAATATTTTGCTGCCCATTTACATCCTTCTGTTCTCTTTGTTGAGACTTTGATGTATACACTGATAACAGAACTTTTTATATGCTTTCACTGAGTTATAGAATTTCCTTTATTGTTACAGAAAATAGGTATATTATATTTTTTTGTTGTCATTTTTCATGGCCTTAATTTGTGAATAATGTTATCCTTATTATAGACTTGTATTTTTCTATGCAGTTTTTTTTAATTACAAGCTAGGTGATTAATATGGGGTCACATTGAATATTGGATTTCTTTCCTCACCTCACTTTCATTTTTTGCTTAAGTCAGTGTGCTCTGTTGAAATATGGGATTCTTTAAGAAACTTTAAATCACTTCAATTTTTCCTTGGAGTTGCATACTTATGTGGGTTTTCCTTATGTTTGATTTGATATTCTAGGAGAATATTGTGAGGAATGAAGTATTGACAAACGATGATGTTTTGGGAGATCCAATTCCTTCAAACCAGCTGCGAGCAATGCAAGAATTTTGTTATCAACTGCTCAAGTTGGGCACTGTGGTGGTTTTCTAAAGCAGCTTTTTGTTGAATTCTATATATTTTTTTGGTTAGCTCAAACTGAACATAATTTAGATAGTCAAGTGGAATCAAGAGACACTGTCATATGAAGGGAGTCACCAAATCATGCTTATGTTTTTGTCATATGGCACTTCTTACTATGTTGCTTTTACTGATCCCTATTTACTTGTCTTATTTAGACAATTATGTTATCCCATAGTCAAAGCTAGTAATTTATATTTTTTGTTCTTAATGTACTTGGTTTTAATGTATTAGTTTACTCAAAAGGCAATTATATTTAAACAAAGGCTTCTATTCTTTTACAAAAAGTAGAAAATATGACAATTTGGCAGGAATATTGTGAGATTGTAGAACAGTCTTTTTCCCCGTTGGTAGTGTTACTAATTGTCCTCACACCCCATTTGTCACTTTGCCCCTTTCATATTTGCTATTGGCATGTATGTGGTCTATTTTTAATTTCTGCTCTAAATTTCTAAGAATTCATACTTTTGCACATTTGTCTTTTCTTAGCTATTGTCTGTGGAATTATGTCTTGAGTGTAGACTGTCTTTTCAAGGCATCAGTAGATACTCCACTGTTTTATAGTTAAGATTCTCTGACATTCCTATTCCATACTTGTTGAAGAGAACAAAATGATCATCTAGTACACAATTATATACTAATAATTTATTGTTGGAATAAAGTTGTTTGCACTAAAATTATTGTGGATTTTGAAATTGTAAAGTAATGAGTATTAGTATGAAGTGTCTGCTAATATAAGCAACCTAACTGACGCATGATTTGATATTTGTGTCTTGACAACTTTATGATATGTATTAAACTTTCTTATGAATCATTACGTGTAGGATAAATGAATCAAGTGAAACACTATAATTTTAAGGATAATTTTTGCTTCCATCTTTTATGTGCAAAGTGATTGCTATGTTTGATTCATTATGATGTTTGGCTACTGGCTTATTTAAATGTATTTTTCTTGGTTGTCTGCTTAGAGTTTGACAAGCTTGGCTTAGTTGATGTGTATTTATGGGATGAATTGATTATTGGCATCCTTTGTTACTATATTGCTCTATTTCTCTTCTCTAATAGAACTTGCCATATTAATATGGAGAATTCTCATAAGTATCCTTAGGGTACTGGTTCAGAAAACAAAAGTAGAAAGTATCTAATGTAAAGGGAGGAATTTATTAATATAAAACCCAAAAATCATTTTAAATTGCCTTTTTAAGTAATTTGAAGCATTTGGGGTTGTAGGTGATACATCTCAATAAAATTCAAAAATAAATTTGAAGCCAAATAATTATTTGATTTGTAAACATTAGTTTGTTATATTATACATAAATTCATTTCATGAATTGATTGCATTATTTTTGTGTTTTCAAATTTAATATTCTCGCTTTTTAGGGAAGAGGACGTTCGCAGTTTCCTGGATCACACCCTGTTTCTCTGAACAGGTCCAATCTTATTGCATTTGATCATTTTGATTTCTATTGAATTGGGAATTAATTGTTATTTCAGGATGAACTTGGCTATTTGACTGAGAAATGGGCATCGTTTGTTTTTCTAATATATTGTCTAAAGAATTAAGAGTACCTAAAGTATGTGTTCTCTATTGTTACCACGCTTTTAACTGTTTAATTGGAATTTTGCTTCAATAATTGATTGGAAAAGAGCATCTTGTGCTGCTGATAAGTTTTGTTTAGCATCATTTTAGCTGAAGTTCTCAAGTAAATGGAGTGACTGGTATTTTATTTGCTACGTTAGAACTTCTATTTTTATTCTGAACCTATGTTTTGAATATTAACAATTGAATCTGATGGAGAAGAATAACAACTTGTGACAGACTTAGCAACATAACTGGATCTTAGAGATATACTATACACCTGGATGTCAATGAAGAAGTCATGGTTTCATACTATATGGAATTTCTGTTAGTTTCATTTTGGGATTAATTATTTGTCAAATACACCAGATCCAAATGGTGGAAGTTCAAACTTCAAACCCCAGATTTCTACCGTGTAAATTTTAATTTACCTTTGATCAATTAAACAAATTTCTTCATCTAGTATCAAATTATTTCTTATCCATATTAATATGATTCTTTATGCAGTAAATTTCTATCATCCCCTCCTTGGTGCTTACAAAGAATCACAGTCAGTCTCCTTAGTTTTTAATGAATATTTACAATTCTACCCAAATCTCCTTTTGTATTTATAAGATATGCTACAATCAACTTCAAAGTGCTGTTTGTCCTTTTGATATGTTGGTTTTGGTTAATAGTTGTGCATAATCAATATGTTTAGAAAAAAGGGAATAACACACTCATTTGATGCAGTTGAGTTCAAGTGGGGAGAGTAATTTATTAAAAACTTAATGTTTGTTAATTATCTACTTTGGTTTTTTCAACTGATGTCAGATCATGTTTTTCTTTTGCAGGGAAAATCTGCAACTCTTAAGACAACGATATTACTATGCAACATGGAAAGCTGATGGGACACGATACATGATGATGATTACTTGGGATGGATGTTATCTCATTGACAGAAAATTTCTTTTCCGAAGGATCAATATGCGGTTCCCTTGCAGATACTCAAATGGGGTATATGTTTATTAAATTTACTTATGTTGCCAAGTGAGTCTTATCCCTCTGGGTGTCTAGTGCTTGGCTTTGTAATTTTATCTTAGATTATCTAATGTGTAACTCAAAATATTTTTGTTGCTATCTTTTCAAGGGTACACCTGAGAGGAATCACCACTACACATTACTTGATGGAGAGATGATTATTGACACAGATCCACTTACACAGAAGCAAGAGAGGAGATACCTCATTTATGATTTGGTCGCAATCAATCAAGTCTCTTTGACAGAGGTACACATGAATTGACAATGTCAGGATATTATTGACTTCTTGGTTGGTTCATCCTACTTTATGAAATTTAAAATTTAAAATTGGTTGATTCTTGTTTATGTTTTTGCTATTCTGAATCCCTGCATTTAGTGGTCACTGGTCAACCAAAAAACAAATTGTATTGCAATTAAGGTATTTGAAATTTTCAGTTAATTTAAGTATCTCCTAACAATACTGCATTAAAATGAGCACCTGTAAGGTTCTAGTTGGATTTGTAACTACCTCTGAATTGTGGGCCCTTAGTAACCCTGAAAATCTGGAACCACAAGGTATCCATATCTCTGCTTCTAACTAGACATTACAAATAGTGAAATAATTGAAGCACCATCATCAGAGTAGTAGTGCCTAATTGTAAACTTTAGATTACTTATACAAACAGAATGTCAGATAATATTCAATATTTCCAGGGGGGTTCTAACTTTTGATTGAAGTTTGGCTACCACTGTAACGTATTCTCTCAAGAGTATTTGGATAGTTGGTAAAACATTAGAAAAGTGGCATAAAATCCAAAATAATACATGTCTGGAACCTTGTGAGTCCTTGTATTGATGTCCACACAAGTGCTTGGCTGACTTTTGTCCTGATGGTCTATATTATGCAGCTGCCATTCTATGAAAGGTGGAAATTGCTGGAGAAAGAAGTAATTGAACCTCGTAACATGGAACGTGAAGGCCTTTCAAAGAGTATAAGTCCTTATTATCGATATGACTTGGAACCATTTAGCGTATGTATAATGATTTTACTATTCTATTTTCAGAAACGTTTTACAGTGGGATTAGCTATTTGTTTATATATCTGTATTCTTCTTTCAGGTAAGGAGGAAGGGGTTTTGGTTACTATCTACTGTGTCAAAGCTCCTTCATAAATTCATTCCACAACTCTCACATTCAGCAGATGGTCTTGTATTCCAGGTAATAATTAGTATCTCTAAAAGACTGAACCTCGCAAATTGAGATTGGATGTCATGTATAGGATAGTTGAATCAATAAACATCTGGCTTTAAGGAAACACCATGTCTTTTAGGACGATGTACTAAATTAACGCTCTAGTAGGAAACAGTCCAAATTTTTCGGTTGTCCTTATTTCGTTGTATTTGAGTCAATATCAACTATTGACTCACTGGCAGAGAAAATGCCATCACAATAAATCATACATTCTGTTTGGTTTATCAACTTGTCTATTGTTAATAATATCAGATTCTATCAGGGTTGGGATGATCCGTATGTCCCTCGCACACATGAAGGCCTTCTGAAGTGGAAATACCCTGAGATGAACTCTGTTGATTTCCTGTGTGAGGTTGTACAAGTACTTTTTCTCAAGTTCAAAAATTGAATTAGTTTATGTGGCATTTCTCTATCATGACAATCCAAACATGTTGATGTCTTTGTTGACAGGTGGGAGCAGTTGATCATCCCTTGCTTTTTCTGTTTGAACGGGGAAAGAAGAAGTTAATGGAAGAGAATGTTATTTTTAAAGGTTGTGCTTGTACACGCTACTTTTATTTTATGTCATCATTATGTAATTAATAGGATTATTATTATCATGATGATGTTGATGATGGAAGATGTCAGCTACTTGCATGTATTAACTGATTTTGGCCATACTTGAATTGCCTTCTGGAGTGAAACTCCTCCTGCAATGAAATCTGTCTAGGCTACATAACATTATCCTCTGGTTGATTTATCTGAATTTTGTATCTGTAAAAATCAAATCTTCACTTACTTCTTGGCACCAAATACTTTTCAGATGCATCAGATATTTCCTCCTATTCAGGAAAGATCATTGAGTGCTACTGGGATTCTGGGGAACGTCATTGGGTCTGTATGCGGATCAGAATAGACAAAGCAACTCCAAACGATATCAATACCTATAGAAAGGTTATACCCATTATTTTTTCCCATTCTATTATGCTCTCTTCTTTAGGTTGTCCATGATTCAATGTTTTTGTTTAACTAGCTCATGTAAAAAGCCTATTGAACAGTTTATTTTGCAAATTTCTTAATACAGGTAATGCGAAGCATAAAGGATAACATCACAGAAGATGTCCTGTTGAATGAGATCAATGAGATCATTCGCCTACCGTTGTATGCAGACAGAATACAAAGGGATATCAAGGCTCACCAGCATATGGTCTCTTCAAGGCGCAAGTGAGTTTTAATAAAAGCTAAGCATGTTGAATGTGGTTAACGTTAATTGAAGAGTAAGACAGAGACTTCTTAATGAAGAGCTAGAAGAAGAGCTTTTGTATTTGTGCGACGCCATTGTCAGCCTCATACCTCCCACACATACCTTAGGATAGAGGTTTAGGTTCTATGATTTTATTTGGTTAACAAGATTTTGGTCGCATGTGTATATTAGCAATTTTGCCTATTATTTCCTTACAGCTTGGAAAAAGCTTAATACAAACGGTTTTGATAGGATACAGTAATTAAAGATTTCACGAGTTTATACTATTTATTTTTTCAATAAAGTTTCATTTATTAAAATTGATACACGCTCTTGGACAGCTACTTGTTCTAGTTTTTACATTGTTGTGCACAACCATTGAAAAGTAAATCAATTGACGGTGCCCTGTTTTATATTTTAATTCGCATTATTTTAAGTGGGTGTTTCTTTAAAAAAAAAATTTAGAGAGGATTTTCAGCGTCATAAGATAATCTTTAAAAATAAGTATATCTTTAAAGTTAAATGAAAATAAACATGCACTAATTCTTTAATCAATCTCTTTTGTTTGTGATCATGTGAACAAAATACAGTCATGGCGGGGAGGGGGATGTTTTATTTTAGTAGAAAAATTATTTCACGTCACTTTGAAACCATTTGCTTCATCGTTAACTTTCAAGCAAATATGCCACACAAAACAAGCAAATATTTTATTTTTCGCTTGTTTCTGTGCTTTGTGGGCTGAAGTACGATCTCCAAAGAAAGATTTGCTTTTATGTTTTGGAGCTACATAAGTAGTGTAGTTTTTATATACAACCTTTTTTAAATTAAATTTGGAATATGACTTTTTATAAAGTTAAGAGGTTAGTAAATCCATCAAAGATTTGTATCAAATCAGTTTTATAAAAAAATAAAATTAACAAGTATTTTATCGAATTATTTTATTTTAGCTAATATTATATTTTTAAAATATAAATATTTATCAAAATTTAAATAACATAACTATAAATATTTAAATTGTATGAAATTCGATATACATATTTATAAAATAATATAAAATGATTTAACAATTAAATTGGTTAATCTTATATTTTATAAAAAATTATTAAGATATATAAATGTTAAAGGTTGACATCAAATATAAATAAATTATAACTCTAAATTTTAAATTAATTATTATAAAAATTGATTTTTAACTGTATAATAATTTATTAGTAAATAAAAATTTAAAATTTTTTACATTATTATTGTATTTTAATTCATTTAAATGATAGTAAAGAAATGGAAAATGATCCAGTTCTCTTTCTATATATAAAAAGAAAAATTATTACAACATAGTGTTTAGAAAAAAAAATCATAATAATATAATTTTTTTAAGTTGTCCATTATGTTTCTTAATATTTAAACATTTTATTATTATTTTTTTAAATCGACATTAACAAGTTTTGACTTTTTAAATTATCGAATTTTAATTTTTTAATAATTTTTAAAAAATCATTCAACAAATTTTAAGATTTTTAAATTTTTATTGATTTATATTTAAATCACTGTACTTACATTAAGAAATTTTATATTTTTATAAATTTTCTAAAAACATATATATTATTTTTGAATATTGTATATTAAAAAATAACCAAATGATCAATACATATTTTTTAAAAAACAAAGCAAAGTGAATGACTGAGATGAGACATCTGAACAAAGGTAAATGGAAAAAGTAGTCATCTCGAGGTTTGTGTCTTTAGAAAATCTTGTGTAGTAGCATACAACCTATTTCGGCTATCATTTCTTACGCAATGAATTCGTGTCTGTCTATTGGATTCTCATCAACTTTTGTCTGGTTGTCTGTTTTAAGAAAATGAAGTTATTTTAATATTTATTTTTATTATGATCATATTTAATATATTTTCTTAATTATCACTTTCTTTTTTTATTAAATATTTAAAATATTTAATATATTTTAAATTAATGATATATATGTGTTTTCATATAATATTTTCTTAGATATTAGAAATTTTTTTAAGAGTACAGTAATTTTTTTTCATATTTTTGGAAAGTATAGTGATATACTATCTGAAGAATTTCTCTAACAATAATGAATAGTAAATTAAAATTTAAATAAAAAAGTAAATGAATAATATATGGTGTGATCCAAAGCATAGAAGCAAACCATGGAAAAGCATAGAACTAAACGGTGGAGGTGAAGTTGAAGTTTGCACAAGTGGTTTGTCTCCCAAACAGCAAAGAACTAAAGCCCAATCTTGAAGCTTCCAAATCAAACTGCAAAAAATTGTTCTCCAATTGATACCCTCCAATGACGATAGAAGTCATAGGGTGCTTTCCTCCATTCACAAACCCCAAACATATCACTTCATTACTCACATCAACAACCGAGTTCGCTCCAAAGACACTCCAAACCACACTCTCATTCTGCAAAACAAACTCAATAGTTGGCACGCCCCACCCCAACCTTGTACTCAACACGTTCTTCTTACTAAAGCACGCTTCAAACGGCGTCACAGAACCCACCCTCGTGATGTTCCTTGCGCCACAAGCTTCCACAAAACCCTTCACCACCGATTTAAAAATGCTCTCCTCCAAAACCGAGTAAGGGTTCACCGTGCTTATCTTTGTTCCACCGACGCCGTTTTTGTCTATGCTCAACAAAGAGGCGTTCAACGGCACCGTTTTATTGTCGATCTTAATAGATTTAACGCCGATGAAATACTCAGCCGAGGCGGTGCTGACGCGGTTGGTGAACAGAGGAGTGAAAGTGAGGGATTTAGAAGCATCGACGTTGGGGAGGAAAACGTAAGGACCATCGCCGAAGAAAACGACGCCGTTTGATCCGTTAGAAGCGAGGCAAACGGCGAATATTTTATGGAAGCTGAAAGCGGAAGCGAGTTGCGAGGGGAACGCGATTTTGGTTCTGCCGAGACCCGCCATGCCGGAGACACCGGCGGCGAGGCCTTTTAGTAAGAAGGAGGGTGCGCATGAGAAGAGGAAGCCCGAAACGGTGACGTTTTGGGTGGGGTTGAAGCCGTTGGTGGATTGGAGGGAGATGAGGTCTTGGGAGAGTTCACCGGAGGTTGAGGTGTGGGTGATGGGGTTGTCGGGTGTGAGGGAGCATGTGTTGTTGTTGCAGCCTGGGGAGGGAGGGGAGAAGCAGTTGCCGCATGCGGTGGCGCCGGCGAGGGAGCACTGGGAAGAGTGGCAGCGTGCGGGCTTGTAGGTGGAGGAGGTGTAGTTGTGGTCGCAGGTGAGCCAGAGGAATTGGCCTCCGAGATCGATAACTAGGTTGATGGTGATGAGTGGGGTTCGTTGGTGGATTTGTGTTAGGTATTGGAGTGTTGAAGGGTCTTTGGTTACTGGGATTAGGAGGGCTTTGGGTTTGAATGATTGGGAAGATGATAATGAAGTGGGAATGAGGAATTGGATGAAGAAGAGTGGAAGGAGATGTTTTATTATGGAGTTAGCCATGAATATGAATATGAACATGAAGATATATGGAGGGATAGTGCCATGCCACATCTATTTATAGGGACTCACCCATGAGATGATTCGAAAAATAAATAGATAAATATATATATATATATATATATATATATATATATATATAAGTGAATCAAAAGAAATGTTTCTAGGTGTTAATTTTGGGTGTTGATAAAATATTTTCTGATTTAAAGATAGTTTTTTTGTGTTTTGAGATATTAAAAATATTACATATTATATTATATATGAGGTTAATTTTTAATTCTTTAAACAATAAAATTATTGTAAACATGGCACTTATATTGAGTTCTTATATTTATACAACTTTCACTTATGTTTATATTTCATTATTTTTTAATTATAGTATTTTTTTTTATTTTCTTCTTAAGGGGTAGCATTATTGATATTTGAATAATTTTTATTGATATAGTTACTTACTGTAAAATTTACATTATCAGTATATTTAAGTGAATTATATTTTTATTAGAATATTTGTAGATATTGTATTTATGTGTAGACATTTGTTGGTACAAGAGAAAGAAAAATAGTTGATAGAAAAAAGGGTTAGTTGATATAATATAAAAAAATTGGAAGAGAGATATAAAAACGAGGGTTAGGTGAGTGCTTAAAAGTTATAATTGTTTTTATTATTTTTAAAATTTAATTAAAATATATTAATAATATAAAATTATGCTTTCATTTAATTTTAAATGATCATATCAATACAAATTATTAAATTTTGTAATGCTTAATTTAAAATTTATATTTATTATACATTATAATTAATTTATAGCGTAAAACTAATAATATGCTAAAATCACACTAATTTTTAATAACATTAAGAAAAGACCCATTTCGAAGAGTAACTTTTGTTAAATGTTTTGTCACTTTATCAATTAAATCTATGGGCCCCTTTTTTAATTTAATATGTGTCTGTCAAAGTTGAGCAAAGATTTAATATATAATTCAATCCAATTGAACGAGGCTTCACTCATTTATTGTGTTCAACAGTGGAAAATTTAATGCAGCGGTGGCAGATGGAATTGGGACATTTATATTACTACCACATATGTAAACGTCATATGTGGCGCATAAGTCTACTAACAAGTTTGCTTGAAAGAGGAGAAGAAAGTACCTGAAAATATATAGTTAAGTTAGAGTCTAGTTCACTGGCCTTGAGAAGATGAAGATTTCAATGTCTTATCCATTTCTTATATATATGTGTGAGTGCCTATTTATAATTTTCAAATCATATAACTATATAAAAATGGATTGAACTATTTATGATTGTCAAATATTTGGTGGGACCAGTGTTGTGGAGTATTAATACGAAACGATGATGTTGATTAATTTGCTGACCATCTTAACGAAATTGTCTATATTTTCTCTTGTTCAATAAGACACGTCACCATCTAATCCAGAAACTTCAAATTAATGTTTAATACCAAAATTGCTACGTGTATATATATAAAATTAATTTGAATCATAAGGGTTTGCATTTCATTGATCAAAATGGTCGAGCCCATGCTCACTTTTCTCAGTTCCGTAAGAACTAAAACAAAATAATTGGCGTTGATGAATCATAACATTCGTGTTTCTTTGGTAAAATGGAATATAATTAACATCTGTATACACCGCAGTGTTTCCTTCCGTTTGACAACAGAAATCTTAAGTGTGTAGGAATGTAATATCGACTGTGCTATTTCCTCATGCTTTCTATTTTTAAATTTTGGCTGTTCACTTTTGAGAAAGCAGCCACTACCACCTTGTTAAAGATGATACGACACTTCTCTTTTCCTCTCTTCATGTGTGTGTTTGGAGGAGTTGAATTTATTTTTAATGATTAATTATATGTATAATTAATTTTATAAACTGTTTTATATTTAGATTATGTTGAATGAATTTTTTTTCAAATAATCTCGTGTTTTGATTGTATAAACACATGCTATTTTAAGTTGAAATTACAATAATATAATTATGTGTAATAGTTAATTTTGTATTTAAAATATTTAATTATAAAAGAAAAAAAATAGGTTGATAGCTTTCCACCTTGAGTTTTAAATTTTGTATATTAAATAATTTTCTTCTTTCCTTAAAAAATAATTAAAATTTCTAAACTGATTTTTATAATTCTAATTTTCTTATCTTTCTTTCTCAATCATGAATCTTGTCGCCTTTTTCTTTTTCTTCTCCTCTTATTTATCTCTAATTTGTAACAAAACAAAGTATACACATTGATTGTAAAAAAAGAAAGTTGTACTTTAGATTTACAAGGAAGTGATATTTATTTGGCAGCAATACATGTTAACTAAAATTTTAAGGATATTAGTTAAGAAATTAAAATAAGTATTTCTTTTATTAACAAGTATTATGAAGATATTTTATTGTAATTTTTAACAGTTTTTTATTAAATTTTAATTAATATTATAAAAATATTATAAAAGTTTGAATTTTGATGATTTTAATTTTATGTTCCTTGAGAGGTTTTGAAGAGTGATTGATAAGTTTATAATTAGACCATATTTTACAGCCCATATATTTATATTTGACCTTTATTTTATTTGGTGTTTACACTAATTTATATATTAATTATGCAGTTTGGTATAAAGAGGCCGTAAGTAAACTTTGGGTGCGTTTTTGGGCCTAAATTGAAAAAAGATTAGAGTTTCGCAGCGGTTAGCATGCCCAGACTCTTCCAACAAGCACGAGGTGCTTTGAGCCCATGCACGGTCGTGCTCATCTGCGAGAAGCACAATTATCAAGAGTTTTTAGGGTTTTCAAACCCTATTAAAAGGATATCTCAAGCATCGTAAATGAGACCACTTTTACATCTTGACTGTTGCTCTAGAATATATCTCATCTCGTCTCTCTTGCACGAGATCCTCGACACATACTTGGCGAGACTTGGAGCTTCAAGCGATCGTACTTGAAGACCAGGAACATATCTCATACTCTAGTTTGATATTTCTTTTGATTATGGTTTTGTTTATGATTGTTTTAGTTCTTTTCTTTAGCATGAGTAACTAAGTCCATAATTAGGGCTATAAGAACTATTGTTCAGAAATTTATGGAATTTTAATGTTTGAATCTAAATTTGATTTTCGTTTTGTGATTAGATTTATCCTATTACGCTTCTCTCTTAATCCTAATTAATTATATTGTCAGATGACTATACCTCGATTAATTAATAGATATATAGGATAAAACGAGACAAAGGATTAGGTGGACCAAACCAATCTTTCTCTTCTAATCGTTATTAAATTAACAAGTTTATAGGTTCCTTAAGCTTTCTCAATTTGATGTCTTGCATGACCATTGGAGATGTTAATTTAGAGAAAAGAATATTAATATTGCATGACCATTGGGTATTAATAGTATTCGTATGAATGATTGGTAATCACAAGGAAATCGGATTTAGAATTAAACAGAAAAATAACATAAAAGATTGAATGAAAAAAGCCATATGCCCTAGGTTCCTCTCCGATAAGTTTAACCAAGAAGTGCATTGTATTTCTTGCTCTTAGTTTTATAATTAATTTTATAAATTCTTGTTTTTAATTAATCTCGTATCTTTGAAGCTTAAACAATTGAATTAGGAAATTCTTAGTAATTAAAAATCAATCCTTATAGGATGATATTTCGGGAACTTAATTTAAGAACTCTTTATTACTTTTCGATGGGTACACTTTCCCGCCGAACAGTGATCAAGGGAGAAGTGATGGGTATGCTTGCTGAATTTTTTAGAAATGAGAAATTATCTAAGTTTTTATTATCCTACTTTGTAGCACTTGTACCAAAAATGTCTTAGCCACAATGAATCTTTGATTTTTGGCCTATCTCATTACTTAGTTGCCCTTATAAGATTGTTTCTTAGTTTTTGGTGAATAGGTTGAAATGAGTTCTAAATTCAATAATTTCATAACAACAATTAGCTTTTATCCCAAGAAAAAATATGTTAGATAATGTGCTTATGACTAATGAGACAGTTGATTATGTGTGGAGGCATAACAAGAGGTGTTTTGTATTAAAGCTTGATTATGAGAAGACTTATGACTCGGTAGAGTGAGAATATCTTTTGTTTATGCTACGTAGCTTTAGATTTTTAGAAAAATGGGTCACTTGAATGGAAGCTTGTGTATGTGAGGGTAGCTTGTCAGCTTTGATTAATGGTTGTCCTACATTGGAAGTTCATATTGAGTAGGGCCTAAAACATAGGGATGCTTTTGTCCCTTTTCTTTTTCTTATAGTAGCGAAGGGGTTAGGTGTTCTTATACGGAAAGTAATGGCCTGTGGATTGTTCTTTGGTGTGAAGATTGGGGTTGGGGGACCGGATATTTCATTATTGCAATTTGCTGATGACATATTGATTATGGGAGAGGATTCATGTCAAAACTTGTAGGCTTTGAAAGCAATATTGTGTAGCTTTGAGTTAATGTCAAGTATAAAAATTAACTTTCATAAAAGCTATGTGTTGAGAATTAACACTGGCAATGACTTTGAAAACTTGGCTACAGAGTTCCTACATTATAAGATTGGTAGCTTCCCACTAAAGTATCTCCAGTTACAATTAGGTATTAATCCGAGGAAGTTTAGTACGTGGAAGGATGTGTTAAACGCTCTTAAAAAGAGGTTGACGTCATGGAAGCATAAGTATTTATCGATTAGAGTCAAAGTGACTTTGATTGATGCCGTTCTTAATTTTATGCCATTTGCACTTGTTATCCTTTTTAAGGCGCCAAAGTCGGTGATAAAGAAGATTGTTACTATCTCGTAGAATTTTTTTATAGAAGGGTGTTAAGGATGAATCTAATATCTCCTGGGTAAAATTGGAAATGGTTTGTAGAGCGCGGAAGAGTGGTGAATTGGACATTAGGAACGTGTAGTGGTTTAACTGGACGCTTCTTGGTAAATGGTTATGACGAGGTGTTTATTGTTTTAGTTCATTATGGGTACTAGTGTTGTAAGCTAGGTATGATAAATTAGCTTTT